TGGAACCGGAGGATGCCGCGCCAGTCTTCGGGCAGCGGCACCCGGTTAACGGGCAGGGGGTCCACGGCCTGCAGGTCAGGAGGGGCCGGTGTTCCGGGAGGGTTCCTCTCATGCTTCTTCGAACAGCCCCATGCTTCTGTGCCAAGGGCTAAATGGCGCAAAAAGGGAGGAGATTCGACGCCTTGCGATTGAACTTCGAGGTCACGCGAGCGTGTCCAAAGCACCCTCCGGCCTGGGTGCCCTCCTGCTCCGCGGCCGCCACCACATCGAGTCCTGCCCGCACTTCGAGATGTGCACTTCGAGACCCAGTGCTTCCCCCGAACTCGACCCGGATCATGGGATTTCTCAGCCTCAACTCTACCCCCAAGCTCCTGGCAGCTCGGTGCCCAAACCTGGAGGCGGAGGGGCTGAAGCTGGCGGAAACAACGAGACTGCCTTGTGGGGTTTGGTTAGGTTAGGATCTCGGACACTCCCTATTTTGCCTTGCAGCCACCTCCAACCGAAACTGCAGACTGCCACAATACCCTTAAACTGCCGAGCCAAAACCGCCATCAAACCCTTGAATCAGGCCCCAGAAAAACCTGCACTACACACTAACATGTCAAAACCCTGGAGTGAAAAAGCTTCCTAAAATTCTAGAGCCTGCTGGGGGCCCGACACCACCAGAGTCGGAAGCAGCAGGCCTGACGTGCCGGTCCGCATGACCCGAGTCGGAAGCGAGACGAGATGAACAAGAACCGGCCGGAGTCCCTGAAATGAAAGTTTTCACAGAGGCAGTCCTAAATCCTGATACACTGATACACCCTAAACCCTTAACCCTTAACCGTCCCCTAAGAGGGCAGATATCGCGCCTTGAGAAGCTGGCATTGGCCTGCCAGTGTTCCACGGCTTATTGAGGTCCGGGAAGTGAAGGGCTGAGGGTTTAGGGTTTAGGGTTTAGGGTTTAGGGTTTAGGGTTTAGGGTTTAGGGTTTAGGGTTTAGGGTTTAGGGTTTAGGGTTTAGGGTTTTGGGACACACTGACTGGCCCTTGAAGCCTGAGGCCTCAAAGCGTCCCTGCCAAACTGACTGGAAGGGATCACTGGTTACGGTGCCCTGCCTCTCAAGGACTGCTCGCGGCGGCTCATTTCAAACAGCCGCCCGTTGGCCTCACGAAAATGGGCCGTCAACTCCAAGACCTACCGGCCCCGAACCTCGGCCAGCTGAAGCATCCCAAACCCACCGAGCAATGTCCAACTTCTGGCTGATCATAGGTGCAGGTTCGGGACTGCGGTCGCACTAATGTTGAGGTGCTTCTAGAGGAGTAGGGGTGTACATACGCATGTTCTGCCGGGCATCTCCATCTCTGTCCTAGAGCCTTGGTGGGCAGGGGTCAGTAGCTCTCGTTTCGGGGTTCCCAACGGCTGGTGGAGTGGAAACTAGCAAGGCGCTTGCTAACCTCAACTGGTGGACTGGCCGAAACACCCAAGAAACCTGCAATGCCTTGCTTGCCCGCTGCATTGTCGGATCAAGGATGTTTGCACAGCGTGGGCAGACAGACTGATGGAGCGTGTACAGTCCGACCCCTGATTTGGCCTCCTCCACAATCTTCGCGTGATCCTCTTCAAGAAGCTCTTTCTGCAGTGCACCTCTGAAGGGAGGGTAGGAGTTCGTGAAGGCGCGACACTAGCGAGGCTGGGTTCTTGGACTCTGGGAGTGTCGTAAAGCAACAAAGCGCTCCCTTTGTCAATCGCAGTCCTGCCTTCAGAGTTGTCGGCTTCCTGCTTCGCGACCTGTCAGGCGACGCCGCAAGCCAGAAAACACCCCTTTGTCAAGCTCGGACGCGGATCTCGCCTGTGGTCTCTCTTGCATGCAACCAGGGGAAGAGGTGTGGGCATGTGGTCGCCCGCGGATCGGACCCTTTCCCCCCCCTTGTTTAAACATGTCGGCGGCGCGAGAGCTTGCAGCTCAGAAACTCCTGGGACAGCTGCGCACTGCACAGCGCTCTCTGCTACAAGTAGTGGAAGCTATCTTTGCCACCTCAGCAGCATGCTTACCAGGACACAGAAAGCATGGGCGTGCGACTCTCCCAGCTACAGCTGGGCACCCTGCTCTGCAGCGCCTTTGCCAGGTCCTTCGGCAGGCCAGCACAGGTCTTTAAGGGACGGTTTGACGCGCCAAGGAATGTTAAACATCATGGAAGATGTCGAGTTGCCTCCTCACCCTCTGCTGAATAGAGACTTCGACTTTCCATGTCCCACGATGTTCGAACCAATAATCAATGTCTCGGAGCAAACACCACTCAAGCCCGTTCAGCCGCTCCTGCTCCGTGCGCTTCTTCCCTTGCCTGCAGGCCTCTGCGATTTCGGGGAAGGTTCAGGAGACTCAGGGATTTTTAAGGCCTACACAAACGGATTGGAACACTGGTCACTTAGCTTGTCTGGGTCTTCGTGGCCCTGCGCCGAAGCCCTCGCCGAAGCCCTCGCGCTGCTGTATTCTGGGAAGAAACACCTGCGCCCCAAAATCCCTAAACCTGAATGACCCGACCTTGCTCTTGGGTCTGGGGCACAGGCTGTAAGATCTCGGGTGAGATCTTCCACCTGCACATACCAGGCTGTCCCTGTACAGTTAGCCACTCAGAAGCCGTGGGGCGTGAGCGCCCTATGACTAGCCGCTAGCCCATGACACCTTCCTGGGTTACAAATTCCGTATGGATTCTGCGCGAAGCAACACTCATATACACTTACTAGTACTGCAGCCCCGCGCTTTTGCGATGTCTGTTGTTATTGTTTTGCATGTCGTGAGTCATTCGCAGTAGTACTCTCCTCACCAACAGATGCCGGTGGCGGGGCTGCGCGCCTGCGCAGTAAGTGAAGGCCTCGGGTGGAAATCGAAAGGAAATTGGAGTGAAAAGGTAGTATAGAAGTGTTGATCTGCGAAAGAGCATGCGACACTACCGGGACCCTCGCAGGTCCTTATGGTGTCCCTACAAGGCTCCGGCGTCTGCTCTGCCTGAAGCTTGAGTTCCACATTTGCCTCGTGCCGTACAAAACGCAACGAGACATCCGGCATTGGGGGTGGTGGGTGATGTACATGGTCCATAGGCAAAGGGGGAACATCCCAGTTGCAAGGGCTCAAGGGGCTCAAAAAGCGGAAAGGAGTCAAACCGTGCCTGCTGCAGGCTGTCAACCAGCGACTGCAGCTTCACCACGTCGTCGGCGCGCTTGGCCTCCCCCCCCAGCCACAGACCTCGCACCACAAAACCTTCAGAGCGAAAGCCTTGCGACATGTCCCTGCAATGAGTACCTGTCAACTCTCAAACGAAGCCTTCCAAACAAAACAGAACGAAAACAAAAACAAACACCGAACAACAAAAACATCAAAAACGGTTACTCTCACTCCTTCTTCGAAGCCCCCTCTCGCGGAGCCTCCTTGGGCGAGTCGGGCGACCCCTGGAGCCTCTTTCTGCTTTGGGGGATGAGTCTTGAGGGTTTAGGGGTTGAACTCTTTTCTGAGATTGGTCAAGGTGAGGCAAGGAGGCACGCGAACTGGGGATCCTTCGGTTTGTCAGCGTCCATCCATGCTTCTCCACAACTTCATCTCAGCGACGGCGACATGTCATCACAAGAGGGTCTTCTCAAAGACTACAGACAGCACACCCTGCCTGTAACCACAACGCCGGCAGAAGACGCTGTCCTTTGCTTCACATTAATACGTGGTGACTGGTGCAAGTACGCCACACGCTAAACAGAGCTCAACCTTACCTAAACAAACGCTACGCAGAGCTCAAGCTTGCCAAGCGTCTGCTAGTGGCACTTTGCCACAGCCGGGGCATGTAAAGGCAGCCAAGGCAGAGGGCAGGGCAGCCGGCAGCGCAGCCGGCAGGGCAGCCGGCAGGGCTGCCGGAGGTGAGCTCTGTCGCACGATCGTGCTGGGCCTGGACGAGGGCTCAGCGCTGACCACCAGCTTCGCCCCAAACACGTATTTAAGGCATCCCCTGTGCAAGCTTCATCCGCCACCTAAACCTTTAAAAGCCTGCAAAGCCACCAAGAATTCTGCAGGCCAGCTTCAAGGCGGCCGGCACCCGAGCCGTAGGCTCGAAAGGGTTCAGTGCCCCGACCAGCGCGGCACAGGCGCCACCGCCTCAAGAAGGGGCCCATAAGGAGACCCTTTTCTGCTGAAGCTGCTGCATTCTGCTGCTATGCTGCTGGTACATGCTGCTGGTACATGCTGCTGCTGCAATCGCTGCTGTGAAGCCTTGACCTTGACGCATTTCACTGCATAGCTTAGACAATCAAGGCTCCACCCAACTCAATCCGACACCAGCTGATGTCTACTCTGCGTCTTCTATCAACTGGTACAAGTTTGGATCCAGACGTTTCGGACATGACAACCTTCACGGGCTGCCCTCCCCCTCCCCCACAGCTTGTTGCAGGAAAGGTCACCACATGGCCGAGATGGCAAGGCAGCGCAGCCATAGCCACCGTGCATGGCACAAGCGACTAAGGCGGAGGGGAGACCGGCTTTGGACTGAGTTGAAAGTCTACAACCGCTATCAACTTCTTGGGGGTACTCTGCACCTTCAACGAAAGCCTCAAATGGGATCTAAGAGTGGCCTTTGGGGATTCACGGAGTGGAGCAGTGGGATTTTGGTTGCTGTTGTCTTTGCAGCTGGCAGTGCCAGGAGCGCTTGCTGCGGAAGGTGAACAACTCTCGCTTGGAAGACCCCACGGGCCGGAACAGAAAGGCCACATGAAAAAAAGTCGCACCACTCAGCTGTAGGAATCTTCAAGGTACAGTACCATGAACGTAGGCAACCTCAAACTCTGAGAGGCGGCAAACAGAAACGTGCTGTTCAGCTGCTGACCTGGTCGTGCTCTCCACTGTGTTGGCCCTTGGGCTTGGCGCTGCCAAGAGACGTGAAGGACATCGCTACACATTGCTCTAACTCTACGTCATGTGAGACTTCCTCAGTGGTAGAGTACTAGGAGTGCCCCATCCGCCTCATTCCGTCCCCCCACTTTTAGCCCGGCAGCTTGTAGCCGGTGAAGTCCACTGTGCCGTAGCCGGCCTACACAGGATGGAAGGATGGACTCATAACCTTTCTGGGGAGGGGACGGTGCTGGGCGCTTGTCGGCAAAGAAAGGCTGTAGAAACCACTATAGAAAGCAAGATCCAGAGATTTGACAGGTCTAGTCGTTGGTTCCAACCAGCTTTGAACCTCTGCAACCAGCACACCACCATGATCGGTCCGCCTCAGTGCTGCCCTCAGAAATCTTTGCGCACTCGGCGTCCTTGGGAGGCACCCACCTGCCAAGGGCAGTAGGGCCTTCTGGGGGGCATGCAGGGGGAGGTGAGGGCATCTTTGTGGAGTGGAGTTTACTGTGGGCTTGGGGGGGAAGCCTCGGGATGGGGCTTTGGGCTGTGGGATAATCCCTACCAAACCACTGTTGGGAACGGGTATGCTGGCATCCCCTCACTGTTGAACCAGGGCGGCCGCTGGTTCTTATCGTCGGAGGACATGCTGCCATCGGCATCAATCGGCACTTTCACGAAGAACCTCAGCCGGTTCCAGCTGCAACGTGTACCCTGAGCCACCTTCCAACACTTTCCAGCTCGAAGGGCTTTAAAAGCATTGCGGCCTACTCAAATTGCGGGCGATGACTGCTGTCACCGAGGGTGCCGAAGCCACCTAACCTCTTCTGAAAATGAAACTTCTTACCCTAGCATGCCTAGCATTTGCCGCCCCCCGAACCATTTTCCGAGATCAGTCCCATTGTGAGTTGCAGCAATGGACGAATCTTCTTACTGACAAGCTTCACCTTGAATGTCAAGAATTCTCCACATCAAATCCTAACAGTACTGTTCAAGAACTGCAGAGTAATCGCAGACACAGAGCCTTTAGAGCACAGTTTCTGCGCAAACCCAGCCTCCTGCTACAGTAGCTTTCCATGATCGTATGCTGGAAAGCTCGATCGGGCTGCTTTGTAAAGCATCCCATGAACCGCATAAGCCGTGTTACAGAAAAGGCAGATGCATAGAGGAGTGCTAGGATTGCGGCGCTCCGTTGTTGTCGTACACGTTGACGAATGGCACCTTCCACCAGAAAGCGCAGGCCTCTTTAGATCTCACCTCCTCCGCTTCACAATGTTCCACGCGTGACCTTGCGTGACATGCACCAGGCTAGACGATCTGCAGGCCTGGTCTCTGTCACAAGTGCTGCCGGTATGCTAGCGTATATCTTGGCTGGGGCTGCCGCTAATGCCACAGGGTTACGCGTTGACACCCGCACGCCCAAGTGCTCCAAACACATTCTGGGCTCTGAACATGCTCTAAATCCAGCACTTCCAGGCCTTAAACCCTAAACCCTAAAACCTGAGGAGCCAGGTTTTTTTTGGGTGTTTTTTTTGGTTTTTTTTGGGTATGTTTGTGGGTTTAGGGTATTTGTTTGGGTTTAGGGTGTGTTTTTGGGAATAGGGTTTAGGGTTTAGGGTTTGGAGTTTAGGGTTTTAGGGTTTTAGGGTTTTAGGGTTTTAGGGTTTTAGGGTTTTAGGGTTTTAGGGTTTTGGGGTTTTGGGGTTTTGGGGTTTTAGGGTTTTAGGGTTTTTGGGGTTTTAGGGTTTTAGGGTTTTAGGGTTTTAGGGTTTTAAGGGTTAAGGGTTTAGGGTTTAGGGTTTAGGGTTTAGGGTTTAGGGTTTAGGGTTTAGGGTTTAGGGTTTAGGGTTTAGGGTTTAGGGTGTAGGGTGTAGGGTGGAGGGTGTAGGGTTTAGGGTTTAGGGTTTAGGGTTTAGGGTTTAGGGTTTAGGGTTTAGGGTTTAGGGTTTAGGGTTTAGGGTTTAGGGTTTAGGGTTTAGGGTTTAGGGTTTAGGGTTTAGGGTTTAGGGTTTAGTGTTGAGGGTTTAGGGTTTAGGGTTTAGGGTTTAGGGTTTAGGGTTTAGGGTTTAGGGTTTAGGGTTTAGGGTTTAGGGTTTAGGGTTTAGGGTTTCGGGTTTAGGGTTTAGAAAACCAAAAAAAAAAAACACCCAAAAAAAACCAAAAAATATACCCAAAAAGAACCCCCACCCACCTGAGGAGCCAGGTTTTTTTTTGTCCAAAAAGAACCAAAAAATATACCCAAAAAGAACCCCCACCCAAAACCTGAACCCTAAACCCTAAACCCTATATAAACCCGAAACCCCAAACATCCCCAAACCCTAAAGGTTCAGCGCACCTTCTCCTGGAGCCACTTGACCATCGGATTCTGAGAAGGATCCTGGCCGGCTCGAGCTGACAGAGGAGACTCTAAGGATCCCCAACCCATCTGAGCTCCGACGGTTGACCTGGAGCACAATGCATCATCAGATATATATATATATGTGTAAAAATGTATACCAAATAAATATTGATATACATAAAATTATCTATAGATAAATAAATACATAAATGAATAAATAAATGAATAAACAAATAAGTAGTATATACAAAGTGTTCGCCCCCCCCCCCCCCCCTTGCCTCATCCTCCTCGTCGGAAGCCAAGGTCTTGATGCCAGTGTACACCTGGACTGACCAAGCTGGGCTACATCTCCGTCCTGCAGATTCCTGACACAAACTATATGTAGCCATAGCCCTGACCCCGCAAGAGTCTGGCTCGACACTCATGTACTGTAACCTTCTTTCTTCACTTTCATGTACAAGAATAAGCCTCCGCTGGAGGAGGACTTTCGGATCGAAAGTTGAGGCTCATGCCCTCCGCAGCTTCTGGTCAGCTCACAGTCCGTGGCTTCGAGTTGGTGGGCTCGGATGTTGCCGCGAAGCTTGGCCGCGGACTAGGAAGGCGCCGAAGACGAAGTGCATGAAAACCATGGCATGCATCATGTACCTCGCAAGTGCTGCAAACCTGCGACCAGAATTTAACCACACATCCGGCATGTCTGCACGGACTTTAGCTTTAGTGTCTTTTGAGGCGAAGTTGGCAGCACGACTCTTTTCAAGGGTTCCTAGCCCAGGCACTCGCCCACGAAGATGAACATGAGGCGGAACGCCACAGCGCCACAGATCCTGGGAGGAAGCGAGCAGCACGCCAAACCGATTCTGGGCAAGCTCGTGTGCTGGAATAAGCCCCGCTCCCAATGTAGAGCGGTCGATGCTTCAGGTGGTCGGGAGTGCCATAAAGGTTGAAGATGAGGTGGAAAACCTGAGAGCAAGCTGCTTCGCTCTCTTGAGGTTGGGAGTGGCACCTGCTGAGCCGAGCCTAAACTCCAGATGACTGCATGTGGGACATCAGAGGCTGGCACGAACAGATTGTCGAAAGACAGCAGCCACTCCAGCATGTATCCACCTGGGATGAGGCCACCCGCCCTTGCGCACAAGCAAGAACAGGCATGTATGGAACGAGTGACCCTTACAACTTACAACCCTGACAGATGTACAAGCGTTCGTTGTGCTCCGCCTGCGGGAGCCGCTGGTAAGGCCGTGGCTCATCCACATGAACGCTCCGGTCCGTCCGTACGTGTACCAAATCCAGCCTCTTTGGACCGGAGCAGACGCTGAGAAGAGGATGGGCATGAAAAGCATTCAGACAGAGCCTTCAAGGGCATCGGAGCTTTCTCAACACCGGGGCGCTGGCCACAGAAGGCAAATGCCGTGGAGATCCAGAAGAGGGTGTAGCGCAGTGCGCCTCACGTGAAACGTGTCGTTAAGATGCACTCACGCTTGGCCTCGGCTATCTTCTCCTCAACACACGTCTTGAGGACAACAGAGTTTGAGCACTTGGAGTCACTTGCGGGTCCCGATCCCTGCTGGGCTTCCGGACGCCCGATGGTCAGCTCTTCAGCGCTGCGGTTCAGGTAGAAGTTGTCGAACATCTGAGGGGCGCTGAGAACGACTGGCACTGCGTACAATTTGAGCGCAGGCCTGTGAACCAGGCGTGACAGTTGGTTTTCGGGCTTGTGAGGTGGGCCTGGAAACCACGAAGCTCACACGCCGAAGCGACTCCAGACGGCTATGGAGGCTCCCGAGGTTCCCGAAACTTCCAGGCTTGCGAGGCTCCCGAGGCTCCCCCCACGCTCCCGAAGCTCCCGAAGCTCCGGCGATCAGGCAGATGAAGACCGCTGCGAAAGTGGTCCAGGCATTGAAGTCCTGGTTGGGTCGGGAAACCCAGGAGCTCCAAGAAATCTAATTGCTAATTAATTATTAATTCATTATTAATTGATTATTCATTGATTATTCATTAATTATTCATGATTTATTAACTAATGGACAAGGGCCCCTACCTAGATTGGGTTTGGTCTTTGGGAGGTTGGGAGGTTGCGGCGAAGCGTTGCCAGCTCCCCGACCTCTCCAACGAGTGTGTTAGTGTAGTGGGTTGACACGCACGGAATTACCGAGCCCCTCTCCTCCACCTCGAAGAGCTTCACGTGGTGATCTCGGCTCAAGGCGTACTTCCAGGCATCCTCTTGGGGGACGCGACGCAGGACGCAATGAGGACAACAAAGGCGAAAGAAAAGAGAGCCAGAGAGTGGCTTGGATTCACCGGGAATGATGGGAAGACACCGCAAACAAAATGCCACTGCTGGAGACTGATTTGCCCCAATTCAGGATACCCTTCTTCTTTTGGTCCTTGGGAACTGGATCTGTGTCCGAAAGTACGGCAAGGGCTCTGAATCTGTTGGCTGTTTAAACCAAGTTGAACCCTTGTGAATTCGAAAATCTAAACAGAACTGTTGAGCCCTTCACCCCTGAGTGGTGTTTAGGCAACCATGAGGAAGCTCGAGCGAGCGTGCCGAAGACGGGCTTGAATTGAAAACAGCCGGAGCACTACCGTAAGAGACCTTGAAAACCTTCCCGCCAACGGCCGTGCCTGAAACGATGAGGACAGCTCTGCCTCACTGCTTCAGGTGTAGACTCGTAGACAGTGGCCATGCCAGTCACTCGTGGCTTCTTGGAATGTCCAAAAAATCCGTGCTCTTTTTCCTGCAGAGAGTCCCCATATGAAGGCCGGGCCCGGCACTGAAAGACGCCCAAAGGCTTCAAAGGCTTCAAAGGCTTCAAAGGCTTCAAAGGCTTCAAAGGCTTCAAAACTCCCCTATGCCTTGTTGGCAATGGAGATCAACGACTCGGGAAGCATCTTGGCCGCGACCTCCGTGCACTGTGCTCGACCCCGCTCCAGAAGCGATGGGGGTCTCGACATCTTCCCACCATTTGGGGGTTTATGAAATTGGGGGTACCTTATTGGGGTCCTTGTTATCAGGGAATCCTACGATTTGGGGGTCTATACTTGGGGTCCCTGATCCAAACCCCATTTTACCTGAAAACTCTTGGCTTCCAGCAGGGGGGAGCGGCAGCTACAATGACCGGATTGGATGACCGGTAGGGGGAGCGGGTCTTTTTCAAACCCGTCCTTGAGCCCCGGGGGCTTCAAAAGGGTCGGAGGGCACGTTTGCAGAGAAAGGGGGGGTCGACATCAGACACGTACAACTAGCAAGGCAGCTGAGGTAACGAATGACACTTTGCGCGGATGGGATCCACACAAAGGGCGCAACACATGCGGCTTGGTATGCTTTGAAGGGGTGACTTGTTTCATCGATCATCGCCTGTCACCATCCGGCACACGATTTCGCGGACCGGCCAGCTCTACGAAGGAGATTGACCTCTGTAGCTGAATCAGGCCGATCACACTCCCGGTTGAAAACACGCCATCGGGGATGTCACCAAGCACATCTCTAGAGCTTCTTGGGGCTGCTGATATTCAGCTGCCCGCTGCCTCCCCTCCAATCGTGCACCCGCCACCGCTCAGGTAGGCCAGGAACCTCCAGGGGATGAAAACGGATGAAACAAGTGCCAAACAACCAGCAGCCTGATATGTTTTGCACCAACCACCACTAACTGCTGAGTCTAAGGCCCCCAATGTTGGGCTGCTTTCCGAAACAGCGGCCTGGAGGCTGCAGTGAAACGAAATATGGGGGTTTACGAAAATAAGGGACTCCCAGTGTAGCCCCCAATAAATTTCCCTTATAATACGGGCCCCAGTATGCAACCATCCAGTTCTACATCTTTCTTGCAATCCCTCGATCCAAGAGAAAAGCCCGGCAAAGAATCTACGGCCCTAAACCCTAAACCCTATAACCTAAACCCTCAACCCTGAACCCTAAAGCCCTAAAACCCTTTTGCATCCAGGCCTCTTCGAATACTGCCGGGCAAGCCCTAAAACCCTAAACCCTAAAACCCTAAAACCCTAAAACCCTAAAACCCTAAAACCCTAAAACCCTAAGTCCTAAAACCCTAAAACCCTACAAACCCCCGGCCTGGTGAAGGCTGAGAGGTCCAAGGGGCCCGGCAACCCGTCCTCTCGAGAAGCAGCGAGGTTTCTGGCTCTCCATCTGGATGTTTTCGAGCGCATGGTACTTGCAGATGCTAAGAGCCCTAAAGGCCCTAAACCCTAAACTCTCTAAACCTTCAGGGCTCGGGTACATCAAGATGAGGACCGAGGTCTCAGCAACTTTGGGGACGTGGCTGATGCCAGGAGACACTGCTAAGTTTTGTGGCCTGCGCGAGGCACTGCGACGTGCCCAGCGGCACCGGCGTCTGTGAGAAATGTTGACACTGCTAAGTACGAGTGGCAAGTCTTCCTGCCGCGCGCACACCTCAGAGGGCCCACAGCTAGAGGTGTCCCAACATCCTAATGGCACGCTTTGGGGTCTCGCGGCAGGTGCCCAGTCACCGCTCGCTGGCGTCTGGTGCACCTTCCATACTCGAAATCGAGCTCTCGCCTAAGTCCACTGCAGATGTTGGGGCTTGCGACGCTCCATGCTACGAAAACATGGCAGGGATGCACCCTTGCTGCATGTTGGGTTCTTGGATAGGTTGGCCCCATGTGTGTGCATGGGAATGTGCATTTCGTGTCGCTACAAATGGCGATCATGCCCCCTGTGAACCCCGTGAAGTGCAGAGCTGTCGTCACTTCTTGGGCCTCGTTGAAAAGACATTGCAGTTTTTGGGGTCTACGGTGGCATGATCGATTGCACGCATTGGGGGCCAGCTTTGGGCCAGAGTTGAGATTCAACTCTCAACTCTTAGCTCTCAACAGCCATGTCCACAGGTACCATCCCAAACAAAGCTGTACACCAGGAGAGCTGACAGATGAATACGGAAATTCTCCGTGGCACACAGCATGTGAACGAACCCGCATTCTCTCTTTCTTCGCGAGGTGCAAAACATGCCAATGATGAATCACAATGATACGCCTGGTGTGTATATTGGAGAATATATCATTGTCAGACACAGCGTGCATCTGTGGCATCGCACCATCACACGAGTTCCGACATGGCAACCCGACGCAAGGACTCGGGCGTCCGGAACATCTGGGTGCCACTTCCACGAACACGTACGTAAACCCTATGAGCTCAGGCTAGCAGAGGCGACCGAGAGCAAAGACATAGGCTAGACCCAAGCCACCCAGGCCATGCTACAGAAGTAACCAAAGCATGGCAAGTGTAGGAGCATTGGATGTGCCAGCACGTCAGGTCCTCGCGGCAGAATGCCAGCTGCCGGTGCAGGTCCTGGAAGTCTTCCGGTGTACGAGGCACCTGCACAAGCCGCAGACTCTCCAGATCATTCTGCTGCACCGTTGCGCTGTCAGAGTGCCTTGCCAAAAGCCTATGCGGAGCGACAACGTTTCATCCGAGAGCGCCCCCGATTCTGCTGGGGTTGTTTCCACGCAGGCCTGTCCACGATCACGCACCAAACGCATGTAGTCTTCTCGTCCCAGCTCGCCCTGGCTGTCCCTGTCCTGGGAAGTGGATCTGAGGAGCATGCATGTAATCTAGTGGCACGTCGGTCATATTCATCAGATTCCAGCGAACTCGCACCAAACATCTCCCCTCTGTTCTCTTAGAAACTGGGCACCAAGCGTAGGAGTTGAAAACTGCTTGCAGGACGGCAGCGGCAGCCTCGAGTTCTAAAAGGCTCAAGGCGCAACACGAATGCGACAAGACTTGCTGCGAGTTGTTGAGTTGTTTTATATTGTTGTATTCGCAGGTGCTTAAGTGTTAATCTGGCTGCCAGCTGCGAAGTCCGCCATTGCCAAATTGTTCTGACATGCTAAAGTAGCTAGCTGTAATCTCTGACCAAGCCCTGCCAGATGGGAATTTACCACTCTCAAGCCAAAGTCGGGTGACACCCTCCCTGCCTTCTCCGGCCGCCGCACGCCCCGCTTCCGCCGCCGGCGCGGCCCACCCGAGGCCCGGAGGTCCTTCGGAGGTTCGAGTTTCGGATAGCGTCGGCTTTCCAAGCGGAATTTCCAACTGAAATCCATCATCATCCATCCCTGGCCCCCCCATCCTCTGCCAGAGTGGCACTCCTCGCGGTGGCCTGCGGCGAGGCTGCACTTGCTGCCGAGAGATCAAGGCTTCGGGAAGGCTAGCACGAGGCTGCTGAGTCCAAGGGCTACGCCAGTTATGCGGCACCATCTGAATAACTTTGGGCCCTCTGATGCTTCCCCAGCCCAAGTCCCTTCTGGCCTCAACGAAGCTGAGGAACGCAGGAAAGTCCTTCCAGCAGCCCATGCAGTTAGGTTGGAGCGCTTGGCTGGCAAGTCTGTGCTCAGTTCTGGAGTACACTGGAGCCACTTGAGGTGGCGAAATTCGCTAAACGGCGAAGAAAGCGAGGAGCGGGGGGCCAACCATGACTAAAGCTTCAACCATCACCAGACACTTTCTTTCCCATCATCTGGAGAGGTCAGCACACTCTCGATCCAGAATGATCCATAAAGTACACTGTATCTCAGCCGCACAAAACGAGCCCCAATCAGCCCCGCAAAAACTGCAGAGTGCGACCGAGCACCTGCAAGAGACTCATGGCCTTCTCAAAGCCCCAGAAAGCCCCAAAAAGCCCAACCCCTAGCCTGGCCCTGTTGCCGACTCAGCCCTTGAACCCGGAACCTCGCTCCGGCTGTGGCCCCGCGCGATGCTCTGGGCACCCCTCCCCACTGCAAGCTCGAGGATGCGGCAACGCCTCGACAGACCCCGGGCCCCAAAAGATAGAAGAATAGGTAAGAGGCAGAGGAGATTCAGAAGACCGTGCTGAGTACTGGTTCCATCGGCTCTCTTTCTCTTGTGCAAGTATGCTTCTTGCGTCAACGAGTCTGTCAGCGTTGCGACGAGTCTGTCAGCGTTGCGACTGTAAAAAAATCCCGAGATGCCTGAAGAACAAGTCACAGAAACCCTAAGCCCTAAAGCCGCTAAAGCCCCTATAGGCCCTAAAGGTCATCAAGGCTGAATGCAGAGTCCCTGGCGAGCCATAGTCGAGGTGCACCTGGCTCTCCCGGAGGAGCCGGCCGAACTCGGCGATGCCCAGGCAAGCGCCTTCTAAAGGTCTCTGTTGGGTCCACGGCAGTGGCTTCACCACATTATGGGGGGGCTCTTGGATTCTCATTCGGCCCCTCATGTCTCATCGCAGATGTCAGGAACTTCGAGGCTTTCCGTGAAACGTGAGCCAAAACCTCAAACCTCAACCTCAAGCCCCCAAGAGCTCCGAGGCCCCATCCCGAGAGGCTCATGCCCGGCATCCAGCCGATGGCGTACTGCTGGAAAGTGCCCGGCCTGCCAGCGACGAGCTCTTGCTTTTGGCTTCGGCCAAGCCCATCCGAGAGGCTGGACATCTAAGAATCTATGCTCAAGCCGAGAGGCACCATTCAAATTCGCTTAGGAACCACTTGCTTCATCAATAGCCAAGACCAAGTCCGAACGCGCCAAACCCCCTCCAAGGCTGCTGCCACAGCAGGCCGTGGCCAAAAGATACTGCAGGCCCAATGCCCTGGGCAGACGAGTTTCGGCATTGACCATCAGAGGGGGCTTCGACATCTTCTGCTCGGTCGGGCAGCTTGGGATTTGCAAGGGAAAGCTCCCGAAAGACCTCACAAGGCCCGAGACCAGGTACCCCGGCCAGCAGCTCCTCTACATCGGGCATGGGGGCCAACCTGTGCCAACTGGGGAGAAGTGGCCGTGACGGAGGGTCAGGGATTTGATGGTGGGTGAACTAAGAGCACTGAACCTACGAACCCTGGCGTCATGTCCGAGGACCGCGCTCGCGGGTGCGAAGCCTGGGTGTCCATTCGGATTGGACCAACAGCCGCTTCACAACCAGACACACGGGTGCACCGCCAGCTTGTTGCAGTGGACGACCCGGCGAGTGGCTAGTTGCTACCTTATGCCTTCGCGGCATCGCTGAGTGCCTTGCTGCGACCAGGTTGTGAAAGGCTTCTGCCGGAGGCGCTCCTGCAGCATTCACCGAGAAAGCTACGCACTTGCGGCTCGGAGCACACTCTAGGAAACTCATGTCTCACTCGCTTGGAGCAATAGTTCTAGCAGTCTAGCAACCTTTCCACTCCACGTTTTTGTCCTACTTCTACATTGACAAGGACAACCATGGTACCCATAGCCCAGCGCGAGAACAACAGTGTCCAATTGTTGTCCGGGCTGCCACGGCCAAGGATGGAAGGCATGAATTATCCACTGGCTTCTGCTATCTCAGGTGTTGTTCGAACAGGATCCGAAACGGACAGGGTTGCTCTGCGGATGAATGCCTGTAGGGGGGAGGGAGAATTTTGAACAAATGGGAGGTTTTGTATGGCCGCTCTCTAGTCGACAGAGCCCAGGACTCGTCGGCATCCCTCTCTCCCGCCCGCCTCCTGCTGCAAGGACCTTGGACAAAGGCAGACCGAAGTCGGTCAGAGCCGTGGCATCACAGGGTTGGGGTTTAGGTGATATTGCCCGTACATTCTGCGTTTTAGCCCGCAGGCTCTGCTTGCGCAGATGTTTATTATTTGTCTGGCAAGCTTCTGAAATCAAGCATATTCACGCATGCTGGAGCCCAATGCACTGCTATGTGGCGTGTTGAAATCTCGGTTCCTGGCGTATGCATTGCTGCTGGGCTGCCAGCACTGCCTCTGGCAGGACTACAAAGCGTCTCACTGCAAGTCAGGATAGCTAGGTTCGCTAGAACATGCACTTCGCAGGCTCCAACACTCGTAGATTCCAGGAGAATAAGCAGCAGGTTGCACTAAAACCCCAGACATGAAAACGCTTTGGGATTTCGGGTTGGGGTCCAAGCGTTCTAACTCTTGAGCTTTGCAACTAAACCCCCAAACTCTCAACCCCAAACAACCCAACTCCACAACCTCCTCAAAACAGCCGGGGGCGCCCCGGGAAGTGGCCCTGCTCGAGAGGGCAGGTGGCGGCGTGGCGGCCGTGAAACCTTTGGGCTTCCTGCGGCTTGCGGGGTGCGGGGGCATGACCTTGCTGAGGATCTTTCGATGTATTCTGAACATATGGAGCTACTGTAGGGCAGCTAGGGGTCTGCTCCGACGCACTCGGAGCCATGAAAGTAAGGAGTCGCCTTCCTACCTCCGGCCTCGCCAAAGCCCACTGCACCCTGCAAACAAGCCTCCACATTCCCAGCCATACCTCGTAGAATTCTCATTACTGGATAAACTTTCCGAGAAACTCCAAGAACCGTGATGAACCCTGATCCGGGTCCGGGCGCTCAAAGGCGGCTGGGAGGCAGTGGCCCTCACCGGATGTTTCGACATGCTTGCGATGGCGGAGTTCCATGCTTGCGATGCTCTCAGAAAGTATATGTCTTCCTCATCGTGAAAGAGAAGTGGGTTCAACATAATAATTGCAGGACACCGCATCCTGATCGTAGGTCGGGCGACTTTCTGCAGCGACCACCGTTCGGCAGACAGCTAAAAGCAGCTATGCAAAGATACCACGGCTTCTTGCTCATTTGAAGTGAATTGGTTCCATAACTCCTTGGAAATGGTGAGCAGATGATTATACCCCACCGGACACCAAAAGAAATCAAAACCATACTCCATCTCTAACTGGATCCGTTTCACACAGAGCTCTTGCGAATGCTGCTCGAGCCCGGCCTTTCCGAGATCGCGCTCTCGGGATCCTGGTTCAGCAGCACATGGGGGAACTGAAGCCCTTGGCCCTGACACCAACTCTCACTCTCGACTCAAGCCGAGGCAATGAATTGCACAACAATCAAGTGCTGCCACGAGTGCATACCAACGGCACTACTGGTTTATGCCCCGGACAACGAAAACAGGACCTCCTGTCACCTCGCTATCCAACATCCACTTCAAGCCATGCCAGATAAGTGCATTCGAAGGGTACTTCCCACGCACGATGTAGGCACAAAACATCCATCGCGCAACTCCTCCCTCCACCCTCCCTGGTTCGATCTCTCCACCCCCCGCAGCACCATCTGCTTTATCTCCCCGTGTGCGCAGAGCCCCCAGCAGCGCAGTCGCGGCACACCCGTATACGTGGAGATGTTCAAAGGACCATTGGCCTTGCCGGCGTGATACTGACACTACTGCGGGGTGACTATGATCCACCTCTTCCTTCGGCACATGCGTGGTCAGTAGCTCGGCTGCTGGGTGACGTTCCTCCCACACTTCGAGAATTACATCATTTTTCTCTCCGAAGGCCGGAAACCCGCTTGGGCTGGTAGGTGCACCGCATGACCCTTCCGACCAGCGGCGCGTAAGCATGCCATGCCTTCTTCTTAAGGTCGGCAGGAAACCTTCTTTTTCTTCTTCTTCTTCTGCAGGGCATGGGGCAGGAAACCTCTCTCTCTGTCTTTCTTTCGCGCTCTGGCTTAGGCAGCACTGATTATCGAAAACTGCCTTGCCGATGTTGGGCATGTGCGAAGGGCGGGGCCTCCAGTTCACAAACATGCTATGCAATGGCCTGGCTCAAGCAGGCATGTATGTCGCAAAAACTGATAAGTCATCTACTGCAAAGGAGGAACCACGGAATCTGCGTATTTCTCGAAGCAACAGAACCACAGCACATCACAAGACGGACCCGAAAACATGAAAAGCCGCCAAAGACTTAGGCCCGCTTCGGCCGTGCACTGAGCTCCCGTCAAGCGTAGCCGCCCCAGCAGCACAGGCGGCATGTCCTGATGCTTCCCGATGATCCAAGTTACTGATTGAGTTGGAGTGATAGGTCGCCGAGGTTTGCATATTCCTTACCTTCCTGATCCCGTCTGGGTCCTTGCCACCTGGCCCACCGCCGTGCACCCCGCCTTCCACCGCAACGCGCTGCTCGCGCAACGGTGGACCTGAATTCAGTCTTGCGCAAGTACCGGCGCACTTCGGCAGGGTCCTACACTTCCTAACTTCTGGTGAGTGTCTGCACATTGATCACTATAGAGCCATTGATCCATGTTCATGTGGGATATGCTTAGTTGACAAAGTTCTCTCGACACGTGGGATCGCATGCGCGTGCTGACAGTAGTGGGTTTCGCGGGCGTCAGAACTCCCGTAGGGGCCCACGCTTGACCCACTGTTGTTCCTGCGACTTTTGATTTTGGTCCCGACCTACCAGGGTCCGGGCACGAAAGTCCTTGTTTCGGAGCCTTCCCGAAGTATGCCCTCGGGATCCCCCTCGAACCCATGCAAACCACTTGGTCTTTTAAGGCTGCACTTCCAAACAGTGCGTCCACACTACGGGGTTCCAACGTTCAGAGGTGCCAGAACGCGTGTTTCCTTGTAGCCTGACTCGCACATGGGACTGGCTCAGGCGGTCGACGCGACGCGCACCGTTTACAAGAGAGCTGCACAACAGGAGTGCTGGCATGTTCCGGCGCCTCTGAATAGAGGGGCGTGCCTGAGAGGATCCATGGCTGCAAAGAGAATGCGGGGGCTGTGCGCACACGGCGCAAACTTAGGTTTGCTGAGCGGCTGGGGGTTTTGGTGCCCAAGATCCCAGGAAAAGTGGAATATGAGGCTGTGGACGGCCCAAACAGGCCCTGATCTCAAGCTGTGCGAAGCTGTGCGATGGCAACTTGTGCTGCTGCAGCTTGGCTGTTCATGCCATGAGGCAGGGGGTCCTTCACACCGCCGCCAGTTCAACTCTCTCACAACTCAGACAAAGGCAAACAGCGGCAGTCACACTTTCGATCATGCACTTGTGACACGCGTCCAACGACTGGGGGTGAAACGGGTCTGAGTCTTGCGACTACCAGATCCGGATGGATCGGTTGCAATCCAAACATCCCTGAAGCTAGATCCCATGAACCCCCCTGACCCTAGGTGATCGCAAGCTGGCCACAGTAGACCACTGTTGGGGCATCCAGCCCCCTATGAGTAGGCGTATGTACAGCGGAATGCACCTTCAGTGACCCCACGCCAGCCAGAGGAAACATGCGTAGTCCGGCACAGGGCCAGAGTTCTACTGCAAAACTCTACATTAAGCCTCCGATACAACCCAGTATGCACGGTATTCTTGGAGGTGGGAGCTGGGCTAGCGTGTGGCGCCCATGCCGGAACTCCCGAGGGTGTCGCCACCTTGGCTGCTTCCGCAAGGCCAGATCACGAATCTGCATGGTGTGTCAAAGAAGTTCGTCCAACTTTGACATTGGAGCAACATGCACCCGGGTCGTCTAAGATGCTGTATGTTCTGATGACGACGTGTGACTTTAGCGATCAGTTCAGGCAATTAAGACTTGAGCGATTGCGCAACGGTTTTGCTATAGTGAGTGTTAGCACGCCACCTGCGCCGGCGCCGCGCAGGCTGGCGTCCATATCCTGCACTGGATTCAGCACACGGGATGGGCATCGAGGACTCTACACTTGTAACTGTTGCTTTGAGTATACTGCAAGACAGTTTGGGCGACGCTGTGGAGTAAGGCATTCTGGCAAGTACTTACATACTAGCACAAATCTGCGAGCTGCATCAAACTGAGCACTTGAAATTATGCAGTCTTACGCTTCTCTGCACGCAGTGTGCAGTGCAGCATGCGTCCTCCTCTGCGCGCATGGACTCTGCCTGGCTCAAAAAAGGCTTGGAAAGACTGTATGGCATAGGATCATCACTTACCGTGCAGCAGAGGGTACCTCGAAGAAAAGCAAAAACAACAAGCGTGTAAGCCTGTTCCAACCCAAGAAGCACAGTGCATCCCAAAAGACCAAAACACCACCAAACAAAACTGTGCCATCTTTGGGGCAGGGCGGATATTGCCATCTGGAGGTTTCTTCCTTTGGAAGCAGCTCGCGTTTGCAGCATGCGGTCAGGGAGAATGGACGTTGGCGTGGGGCACCAGGCCCTCGCTGGTGTGGGCCATGTTTCACCAGAAAGATTGAAATGCCTGTGTGGCCGTATGGAGCAAACTTCCCGCGTGGCGCTGCCCATTGTCGACGAAGTGAGGGGACCTGGATGCGACAAATGCCGCCTTTCGTGCGAGTATCAGTGCACAGCCTCTCCGACTATGCCTTGTTGCAACAACTTTTATTCATGACGCCCAAAACCCATGCCCTTCCGGCGATGATTTTCACAAATTTTGTATTGGTTGCCAATGTCTGTCGCGGTACTCCGTGCTTTCGAATCTTTGGTTTCAGGACTGCTTGCTTGTGCATTCAGCATCTTTTCCCCTTGGAAGACCTCAACTGGGAAAAAGTCTCCGGAAGTCGAGTGCGATTGATTCCAGAGTTCGACGTGAGGGCGTTCGTTATCTTATCGCAGACGTGCTCGGCCGAAACAGCTCTAAGGGCCATGGTAAACAGTGGAAACCAAGGTCGGATGAGGTGATTTCTCTCCTTGCAGAGGGCGCAGATGGGCCTGTGGCAACCCAGAGTCATTTCGACTTGATGGTAGGTGCATGTATGAAGTGTGTGCCTCCCTGTTCCTTTAAGAGCTGCTTAAGCTCCGCAAATATACCGAGGCCTCGCGCCGAAGGTCTCCAGGTTGTAAGAACAGGCACGCCCCTCCAAATCCTCCCCCAACCGCGAAGCCACGCGGCGGCCCCCTTCATTGCCTGGAATGGGAAACCCCCCATAGGCGATCGGGGCGAAGAAGGCTTTCGAATTTGCCCCCCCCGCCCGCCCCCCCCCCCGCCGCCTGCCCCCCGAAAAACGGTCCTCTGCGCCCTTAACGTCGCGGCGCCAGTTTACAGTCAGCACGCATCAAGTGGGACCACGGAAGGATGCAGCCACGCTCGCCTGCATCTGCTCCTGCGAGATGAGGGTCCGGCCGCGCTCCTTCGGTGCCCTGGCAACATGGAGCGCATGAAGTCGCCAAGCACACGTCTGCATCGTTGCTTGGCGTTGCTTCTTATCCGGAGCCGGCTTGCTCAAGAACTTCCATCGCTGCACTTCTTGCTGTGCTGCTGAGGCGTCCGCTTAAAGAGGAAGATGGAGATAGGTATGCAGGCGATGATGCCTACCTCAGAATCAAGCGCTGGGAATTCCCTCTCCCCTGAGCCTACCGCCGAAAATCGCCGAAAAACTGAGGCACTTGCAATCACCACCACTGTAACTCGGCAGTCAGGCAACGTCAGCATCTAGAGATACTTGATATCAGCCGGACGCCATTCCGAGCCCTGGGGCCACGACCGATGATCGCGGTTACAACACCACTGGGGCACTCGAGAACGGCCTCACAGCTGAGATGTGTGGAGAGGAGCCAGGCAAGACATGCATGCAGGGAGACGCAGTCCACTTCAGGCGGACAACCCTCTCTCGACTGCCTCAACGGGTTGCTACACTCTTCTTGCTTCCACGTCACACGCCCCTCACAACACAACCACTGCTTTTCTTTCGGGACTGTCAGAATCTGGGATGGGCTGAGCACCCAAAGCCGTGGCCCGGATTCACTACTTTTGCCTTGTGGATCAACAGTTTTCAAGCCAAGAAGGCTGCCGCGGAGCCTCATCGTAGTCCAGATGCCAGCCATTTCTTCTGCTGACCTCAAGGATCTCATGAATCATTGCGAGTCTGAAGCCCAGCTCAAAGGCTCTGAAAGGGCTTGACAAAATGGTCTGCAAGCGAAGAGAAATCGCAGAAGGGACAACAGTGCAGAGCGTTCCGCACGGGAGCCTCTGCACTGCTGCGGCTTCAGGCCCACACGTAGATCGCGGCGTACCAGGCGATCAGGGCATCCCTCCGATTCACTTCAGACATTGTGATGGGGATAGTACAGGTTGACATCCCGGTCCCACGTGAAACAAGCCGACACCCAACATGTAAAGCAGCAGCTTGACGGGTCCTCCCAAAGGGGCCCCCAAAGGCCTGTCCGCGCCGTTGTTGCAGTTCGTCGGCACACAGAAGGTTTCGTGCACCTGTCGATACGAATAGAGCTGGGTATGCGGCTTTAGTCCAGTCTTCAGGTTGCCATTTCTGCCATTTCAAGCTCGGGCGTTCAGGAATTGGATGTTGAGGAGTTCCGGGACTGGATTTGCGGTGTGAAGAGAAAGTTTCAGAGGTCATAAGGGAGCGACGCACGAGCTGACGCAAATAAGCCCCAAACTGGAGACTGGCAAACTGCATGGTTGACTTGCTTCTTTGCTTCCAACCTGTTCTGTGCACGTGCAATGGTTTGCCCTACATGTTCCCACAAAGCCGCCTCGACGTCGCTGGCACCTGTCCGAAAGAAAGGCTTCCGCTTCACCAGGCAGGCCTGACGCGGCTTCACACTGCGCGAGTCTCCCGTCCACTGTCCTTTCAACTTCCGCATGCTTTCGGTGCTTCCGGGCTTTTGAAGATGCTTCAAGCCATTTCAAGCCCTAAGCCCTGTTGTCAGCCTGACCAAAGTTCTGGTTGCAGAGCGTGACCATGTTCTGGTGCAGGCAATTTGCCACGCAACTGGGCACCAGGGTTTTGAACATGGGAACTAAAGCTCGCGTCTTTCATGGCCCTTCAGGGGCTCGCAAAATCGCATACGAGAACTTAGAGCATGCAAAATGAAAGTCAGAGACCAACAGCAGCGCAAACCCCACAGCAACCAAAAAATATGACACACAGCAGCGCTTCTGCTCCAAGTTCCCCGGCTCAGAACAGCCTTCGGCCTTTCCCTCGGCGAAGTTGGCGACCCTGGGACTGCGTGGACTCGGGGGGAGGGGGGGAACATGGTGGGAACCGAGGATGTGGAGGCTCAACGTGCATCAAGCCTCCACTGCCTAGCAGCATCGAAAGGACCTAAAATCTTTAAAAAAGCATCAGAGAACTATCATAGGAGCTGCCTGCAGCAGCCGGCCATCTTGTTCTCCAATCGCAGCCGGCACCTGAAACTCAAAGTGTTGAGTGCCTGCAATCACCTTGACCGCCTACTTGGGCAGCTCACCCTAACTAAGCTCCCAGAAACTAAGAAGGCCGCCAGCGAGTGGCAGAATTGTTCACGTAAAGCCAATTCCTGAGATCAAGTACACCGCTAGCGGAACTGGCTCCAAATAGATCCACACCACGGGCCCTCTAAACTGTGGAAGGAGAGGCCACGATAAACAAGCACTAAGCGCAGAGAGGGAAAAAGAGACTCTCATGGATGTCCTTCCCCACTCAGAATCGACTCGATCGGAGAAGACACTGAATTTGCAACGAAGCCCTTGCATGAACGCCGAAATGTCCAGCCCGTACCGGCAAGCTCCCACCTTTTCATGCAGGGGACGGCCGTCCCAGTGAACCCACTTGTGCATGCGTGCAGGGGTATGCATACACATATATTGCAAACAAACACACACACACACACACACACACACACACAAACAAACACACACACACACACACAAACCTCATCAATGCCTCAAAAAATTCACTGGGAAGCCCACGGATCTCTCAGCATATCCTCCAGATCCAACCTTGACATGGCCGGACGAAGCGGACAAACCCTTAGAGCTTTAGCACTCACGACTCACGCCACTACTCATGTCACTACTCTGCTCACTGTTCCCAAGTTTGCGCTTGATCCTCACGAACTTCAGGGTCAGAGTGATCAACGCGCTTCAGGGACGTTGAGCGGCCCCCGAACTCTCTCCCACTCATTGGCATACGTTAACCCAACAAGGTCGGCGAACGATGCGTGCACTGTGGCTGCTGCCTACATTGCCTGGAGGTCGTCAGACGTCGCGCGGGCGCAACCTCCGGAAGAGAGTTGACTCTGAGACATCTGACTTCTCAGGGCTTCCATCCACTGCAGGGCTCGCAAGGCTCAGCGGATGCTCATCGGCCCTTGCCTCCTCATCTGCGTCCGCACCAGCTGAGGCCAGTAGCAGGCCTACCTCGAGACGTCTACACGCAGACGTACTCAGAACACTCTTCGGTCGCTGGACTCAACACGAAACCCTGCCAGGCCAGGGCCCTCACCGTGACCGCAACCCATAGCTGGGCACACCTTGGTGAATGACGGACACTGTGGCAATCTGCGGCATCTGCACCCTAGAACTTCATCATGGAGCGCATTTCCGGCAACCATAATAAGGTCCGCGCATGCCCCAAGCCGGATCGCATACAAAGCGCAACCGCTTGAGCCGCAGATGCCCACGAAGCCCCACGAAGCTGCAAACTGCAGTGTCTGCAGCCTCAAGACGCGAAACTTACCACCAGCGCTCGCGGCGCGAATCAGCACAAGACGAAGGCCCCTTTTTTCATCATCAAACATCGTCCGGCACTTGGCATCTGTCGTCCATGAATTCCTGAGTCCCCCAAGTAGCAGCCAGGAGCACTCCCGTGACACGACACGACGTGGCGGCACGAAGCAAAAGGCAGCCGAGGTGCGGAAGCCAAGGATGGCAGGACCTGGCCAAACACAAACAAAGCAAAAGGACTTTCGGCGAAGCGATTCCCCCCGCCCCCCGCTTGGTGAAATCTGCCCCCTAGACCACTCCCTCCAAACACACCCACAAACTTAAATGGCCTCCACCACCACCAAGCACGGATGCAAATCGGAGTGCTCCTGCTTGGAGATGCTTGGAGTCGGAGTCTCTGAGCATCAGCTGTTCCGCCAGCAAAAACAAACGATCAAAGAAATGGATCACAGAAGTAGAAGCCGTTGCTGTCTGACCCCACTGCTGCTTCTAGCACTCCTGTGCCGCAGCGATGTGGCGCAGCGCCTGCCGCAAAGAAGCACAGCAAGGCCGTTGAAGCACGCCTCTGCACACCCGGACCTGCTCTGAAACTTATCGCATCTCCCTCTCCTGGGCTGAAAAAGGCCTTTGACATCCACGCTGCTATACACTGCGACATGATTGGAGGGCACAAGCCGTATAGTTCACGTTTCCAGCTTCAAGGACCCCAAAACTGCTAAGATCACCAGGAACATCCAGGAACTGTCCGCCTCCTCAGCCAGAGCACCTGCGGCTCCATTGTCCAGGCTATTACGATCCAACTAGCTGTGGTACGATGACCAGTTTCACGACAAGAAAATGCGAACTTCGCTTCCTCTGGGGCACTGGGAGCCCTGCCTCCCTCGTCGCGGAAGAAGCCCAGCACGGCCTGCACAGGGCGGGCCTTTAAAGGCAGGTATGGTTCGGCATGCCTGAGAAGAGTGCCAAAAAGGGGCACCACAGGACTGTACACACACACCACACATGATCATCTTTCATCTTTTGTTAGTTGCTGGTCATTTGCTTGTGCCCTTCAGGACATGTTGGTCTGTAGGTGAAGAAGCCGCTTTCAAAACACTGCCCAGTGCGGCGTTGATGGATCTACAGGACTGCTTGCATCAAGAAAACCGGTCTTGCAGCGGCAGTGCTGCTTGGAAAGCAGGCCCAGCGCTTCCTCAACATCCAAACGGTAGGCTAAGAACATAAAGATGATCTCGATTTTCTCACGGGGCTTCTATCAAATCCACACCTTGTGACCCGACTGGACAAAGTAACTCATGACCACAGCAGACCTTAAGGGGGTCCTTTTGAAATCAGGATCCTTTTTGCAGATTGCAAGGCATGCGGAATTAACTTGAGACTTGAAAGCTTCGGTATGGCTAAGAACAAAGATTGCATCCAACGATATTCAACATGTCGCCTGCCGCCAGTCTGCATCTTCTCTGTTGTGAGAAGCCTTGGCACAGCATGATATGGCGAGTAGAAACTTGGTGGAGGCCCTCGAAAGTTGCGATGCATGCTATATTAAGAGGCAACTGAATACGGAGATACCGCCCAGGAGAATGAAGTCTGAAACCGTTAAGGACACGGAGTTACAAAAGGCCGTATGAATGTGCCAGCCAGTCTCCAGAAGCACTGAAGCCCACACCATTGAACTCTGTTTTCTGGCTCCGGTGCACGGTACCCTCACCCGGCCTCGGCGTAGATGAGCATCCCAGGATGGCCTGGCCTGAGGATTCACGTGACGAGTCGAGTTTTGAGGGTTTGGAGTTCAGGGTTTGGGCAGCTCGGGCTCGCTGCTTTCACGATGCCTTGTCGACTCAACTGACTCGGACGCCACCCCCCCCAAGAAATCCTCAAGACAAGGCTTTGGCGACAGGAGCGCAGCCAGGGGGACCACGCCGGGCGGCGCCGGAGAGGCCTCGCCAGGGGAGATGGACTTTTGGAGGGCACCTGCTCAACTTCCATTTGCAAGGGGTGCGGAAGTTCAAAAAGTCCCTGCAAGGGTTGCATAAGTTCAGAGTCCTTGTTGGGGGGGGATTCTGCTTGCTTCACGGTTAGGCTTTGCCGTTTGGGATGCTTGGCTTTCCAACATACCTTGCCAGATGTGCCTGTTTCTCCGCATCGGCGCTTGCACAGTGCTACTCATGGCGGGACTGCTCTGCATGTCATGAGCGGCACCAGCTCCAACGAAGCTCATGACCACCAAAGGCAAGGGCTGCAAACTCCAAGCCTCAGCTTCTAGACTGAAGGCCCCTTTGCCCTCCGGTGCGAAGAGGAACCTCGGGACTGTGGTTGATGACGCTTGGTTTGGCGAGCTGCTCGAACTGCTCGAACTGATAAGGTCGTGGCCAAGGGGGTAGTGGCCTGGGCAGGTGGTGTTTGAAGACTGGTAGGCCAGGGTCCCTGGTAGAATGCAGTGGGGAGGCTAGCAGCATCAAAGTTGGCTGTCACAGCACCTCGATGTCCAAGTCTCGCACAGGCGCGGGCGATCTGAACCATCTGCGCCGTGCCTTGAGGGGCAGTTTTTCAATCAACTCAATTTTATGGCAAATGCAGCGGAAGCTACTGAAAGAGCTTGATCCTGGGTCCGTGGATGCCCATCCTGGCCGTATGAGCCCAAGAAGCCTGCCAACCACCCCTCAACTCCGAGATAACGTCTTCTGGGACACTTGCAGGGCATGGCCGTGGCCGCAAGGTATGGCGGCTGCCGGCCTCTCAAAACCGGGGCCCGCGCAGCACCCGAACTTCAGCGCCGCGCATTGCGGGTGGCAGAAGCTGGAGGTGCTGGATCCTCTCTTGTACCACACAATGATGAGTGTCAAAAGTGGCATGAAGAAGGCGACTCCTCACTTGTACCTCTTTTGCACTCAAAAGTCAAAAGCTGGTCGCAGATCCCCTTGTTGGGCTTCAGGATTTGGGGTGCCGGAAGGACCGGAGCTGGCCCATGACCCCGCTGGTGTTTTTTGGGGTCTTGCGGGGCTCGATGTACCCGCCGGAAGGCTTGGCACCAAAGCCCATGCTTGACAAGCCGAGCCCGGGGTTCGTGTGCCTGGCCTGAGGCGCGACCGCCCCGGCAGCAAGATTGCGAAAGCCTGGCTCCGACAGTCTGGTCACGCGAAATTTCAGCATGTTACCTCCACATGCTTGTAACAACGACTTGTACACTATCATCCAGCTGCCTTTCTCGAGCCCGGCAGCACGACCTCCACGTCCCGTGAACTGCCTGGCTTGACGCAAGCGCTCTAGACTCCAAACCTGCTGAAGACCCGAAGCTTCGCCTCGGGGGAAGCGCTGCACGTCGCAGAAGCCGGAAAAGTTGCGCTCCTGACAGCATGCAGACTTCCGGCTCGGCTTTGCCGGCCTTACTGGAGAAAATGGCTTCCACTCGTTTTTGCTGTCAACTACCATCGCCACTGTCTCACCTTAAACTTTAAACCCATCCAGCAGCCCACAAACATGAAAAGCTGGCATATGCTGGCGCAATCTTTGCACAGCCCGGCCCCACCCAAGCCCAGCGGGAGGACCTCGCTCTCTCTGGTGGCGTCGGCCCAGCCTCTGCATGTTGAAGCTGAAAGGGGAAAAGGCACTGCGTTGCGATTGCCTTTCTGTGTTCCTTCTGACATGTCATGCCTGCGATGTGCATGTGTGTGAGTGCATGTGTGCGTGGGTGAGTGATTTCGTTGCTTAGTTGGTTGACCGGTTGGTTGGTCAGTGTTCCTAGCTTTAGAAGGTTCGAGGCATGGAGACGAACACAGATATACCACAAAAAAAAACCTGTATAAATCCTGTATAAAACCCAGATAAAACCCAAACCCTGAAATCAGGAGCGAGGGGAGGGGGCTCTTGTGTTCCTTAGGAAAAACGTGAAAAAAAAAAACGCGAAAAACACGCGAAAAAAACGCGGAAAAAACGTGAACAGAACGTGAAAAAAACCCAATCAAAACCCCAAAAAAAACCCCACCCCACCCCTTCCCTCGCCCTCCCCCTCCTCACTCTCCCCCCCCCCCACCCCCCCCCCCCCTTTGCAGGTGAGGCGGGGCGCCAAAGCCATGGTCTATGTCTCGTAGCATGTGCTTGGTTGCCGCCTTTTTTTTATGTTTTTTTCAGGTTTGTCTTAGGTTCTTAGCGGGTTTCTCCGAACCCTGGCTTGGGTTTTTTGGGGTTCTGTATAGGTGAATTTGGGGTTTTTTTTTAATGAGCCGATTTGGGCATCTCCATTGGATCGGTCCTTTTAATCCTAGCTGCTCAGTCAGTTTCGAGCTGTTGTTCGCTGATGCTTTTACCAGCTCTTTCGGGCTTTTGCATGTCCCGCTTGGGACGCTTTGTGGCTTCACGTCTCACGGCTCGCTCAAAGCCTAATTCTTCTGCTTTCGCCGACTAAGATGCCCCTTTGTGAAGGTTTGCAGGATGTTCAGTTGTCCCGGAATCTTCAGGCCGGCATGGCGGTAGAAAACCGCAAAATCTCAGAAACTACGAGCCCAAAAGTAAAGAACGGAAAAACAACACAAGTGCTAGAACTGCCAGTATGCTCTGAAGCTGCGGAACTTCAGTTGTAAGTTTTTCAATGTAGCACGGCGACGCAGAGAAAGAAAAGAGAGAGAGAGAGGGGGTAGGCAGGAAGAACGGAAATCAAACAGAAAGAATCCGTGGACGATTATGCCAGAAGTTGTGGCAACTCCTCCCCCAAAACCCTGCCCCACTAGTCCCCCTATATCCTAACCCTAAACCCTAAACCCCATTGCAGGCACCGGCACCTGCCACAGACATCTGCAGCATCCGATCCTCGCCAAACATTCGCAAAAAAAGAGAACACATCGAGAGGCTGGACACCTCCCAAGAACTTCCTCAAACCCCTGATCAGAACCAAGAGACACCCAAACCCAAAGGTAAAAGCTTCATGCAATTGGGCTCCTGCCACAAGCCCTGCGTCTCCAGCCGCCCTAAAGCAACGCCCACCAGACAAACCTGAGCCGGGTTTGCAGAGCATCTTCTGGCTGCTTTTGACGACTACGTCGCGTGTGGAACGTGATTCGGGCAGCCAGGCAAGTCTGGCTATGGCCCCTGCACCGGAGAGCAGCGAAATGGAGACGGGCACCAGTACCAACCTCTCGCGAGCTCTTGGAACGCCCAGTTGAAGGGCACTAATCCTTTGGCGCACGACGACTTCAAGGGGTCGGAGATGTCAGTGCATTTGAGTTGTGGCTATTTCATGACCCCGTTCAGATCACAGAAAGCTTTCGAACCAGGACATCTCCGGACCCATCAACTCCACCCCCACTGACACCAGCCGGGGCCCACGCCCGGCGGCGAGCACCGCCGCCGGGACCTCAAGCGCGTGCCTGGGACGGTGGGCCAAGCATGACTGACAGCTGCAAACCGATTTGCTCGGAATCCCAAACTCCCACAGCCCCTTTTCCAGATGTGGAAGATGCATGAAGCCATGCGGAGCCAAAGGTGAACTCTGCTGGACCAAGACGATGCCGCCACTACCAGGGAGCCCATCCGAGGCTCCTCTCTGCTGCTGAGGCGCCTTCCAAGCGGGTCCCACATGACTTTCAGGGACACCACCTCCAGCACCTCAGGTTTCTCTTAGGCCAGAGGCGCAACCCTTGGGAACTGGGATATCCAGGGGCCCAGCCATCAAGTAGGCAGAGCGCAGCGCAAGGTTGTCGATCCTTGCCATGAGCCAAAGACAGCCAAAGGTCATAGGCCGCAGGCCATACGTAGCCATAACAAGCTTTTGAACAGCCATCCGCGGAACTCACTCGAGGCAGGTGCCAGTGCTCCCACGCTGAAACCTGCAGCACAAAACAACAAGATCAACATGAATGAATGCACTAGCATCTGCAACTACATCATTTGCATATGCGCTCTCTGCCTTGAAGAAGCAGAGGACCAGACCAGCAAGGACTGCGAGCCTGCGGACTTTGCAGAGAAACCTACTTTGGTTGATTCTAGGTCGAGTCGATCGAACTGGCGCATGCCACGCATCGGATTCGACCGAGCAACAGCCACGAATCTGTGCACACTGTATGAAAGGACTTCGGCTTGAGCACAGTCGGCATGAATCCTGATGAATGCTGTGCCTCTTACATTTAAACCACACAAAGGCCTAGCCTGAATCTGCCCGAACATTCCTCTGTCGAAGCCCAGGCTGAGCACCAAGGTTGCTGCGTAATCGCATCCACGACGATCTGGCCTGCAGCTGGCAGGACCTGCAAAAGGATTGACTGCATGCTCCCGGTTTTGATGATGGGCTTAAAGTTTATGCACAGATATAGAGATTTTTGTAACGGCTTGTATTGGAATACTGAAATGTTGCAATTTACTTGTTGGATTAACAAGTATCAGATGTGACTTCATGATGTTCCGTGGCAGATTTATATTTGACAAAGACAGAATGGAGCTTCGGAATTTGATGCACAACCAATTCTAACAGCAAAAGAAACTTGTGTTTGTCACATGTGGTGTTTCGTGTACAACCATGGCATTATCTAACGTGTCTGGTGACAGTTGTAATGCAGCATCCAATGTATCAACAAAAGATACTCTCTTGCTACTTGATACACGTGCCTCACGATACCAATTCACTACCTTTCCTGCCCATGTTCGCTATCCCTGCAAAAAGCATTGTCGCTATATTGCGTTGCAATGTTGCCAGAATATAGAAGGTTTTCACACTAGGGTCGCATTGCAAAGCAGTCTCTCTTAGTAGGAGTTGCATCACTATCTTGATAGCTACCATACGTCAAACTAGTATCTGCCAGAGAAATCTCCTTAACAGGGGCTGTGCTGGCTCGGGCTGCAAATGCTCAGGACCAAGGGCTAGAAATATGCCGGGCTTAGGAAAAGCGACCGCGAAAGCACATAACTCCCGAAACCTTGAACCTCAGGGCTTCCAACAACCTTCAGAACCCACATCCCTTCAAAACAGCCTGGCGGCCGGACCGCTGCAGTCCAACCCACAAGCCCAGCAGAACCTGGCGTCTGCGCACCAGATTCATGGTATGGGTAGGCTCCAAACTCTGACTCACAACAGCAGCAGAACCAGGATCATCGTCATCGTCACCACCGCCACCATCACCATCACCGGCGTCACCACCATCACCACCATCGCCACCATCACCACCATCACCATCACCATGAAGTCTCAACACCTGACCTAGAGAATCGACGCACATCGGAAACAAGCACTGCCGTTTGCACTTCGATCCCTGGTCTCCCACACCCGCTGGCCCTAGACCGAGCTACCCTGGCGTGGCCCGACTTCAATCGTTCTTCGTGCGCCTGCGCTGCCAGGTCCAGGGGCCAGCGCCTGGCCCGAGCTCAGAGCTTGGGATTCGAGGGACAGGGTGTGGGAGTGGGGTACTCTGTCAGACCTAGAGTTGTGAAGGTGCACGTATTTGGAGGTGCATCAACTCGTGGGCTTGCACACACAGACCACCGAGGGCTACGGTGACCATGAGCAGGATTGAGTAGATTGAAGTCATTGCCAATGACTGCGCAAAACAAGGAGAATGTGTGCTTTTGTCAGAGGACTTCAGAAGACTGATCTCGCATCTGGGGTGCACGCCAAGGCGACTTGGTTCCCCAGTCCTTGGGCTCTTCTTGTTGGGGGTACAACAGCTGGTTCAAAGAAGCTGAGGCGGCTGCAAAGCAAGCAGCGTAATGCCTGGCGAAAGGAGGCAAGGAGGCAAAGCATGAAGCCTGGCAGCCTCAAGCCCCTTTCCCGCACCCTTTTACTAGGTCGCATGAGCCCAGGTCCCGCACCCAGAGGACAACTTCCCGGCGAGCTGCGAAGGATGCACCCGCAGAGTGACGGAGCCTGGGAAGGTGGATGGGAAGGGGCATACCAAGGGCCAACCCTTGCCATGCAGAAGGTGGGACATCACCACAGCCGATAGCGGCAAAGTGGCAACCACGGAAGAACCATGATGATCAGCGGTAAGCTCGCAGCCCGACACATCTTCCACCCTTTGCAGCCTCGTCTCACCAGGCACAAGAAGGCTTGAACGTGTCCCTCGAAGTCAAGAGCGACCATTCCAACGACAACACCCGCTGCACCACTATGCCGTCACTGCACTCGAAGCTCGCTTTCGTGAGCTCAAAAAGTTGGGCATCATGATGCATCATGCTCCATGAGTGCTCGCAGCTTTATTGCGGCGAGCGGCGCGCTGGAGGGCACGGCACAGTCAAGCCACGGGAGGCAGGCCACTCCTGGAGGAGTCAGACATCATCTCAAACTTTGAAGAGAGCACCACGGACAGCACGGAAGTCGTTCCATTTCCTCAATTGAGGCAATTCATGTGCATGACGAGGGACACTGTGGGGTCGGTCACACATGAACTTCTGGGGTTTCGGCACTGAGGTTCGAGAGTTCTTCATACGTCAAACTGTTGGCAGTGAACCCAAAACAACGAGCTGTGCAGGTCGTAGCAGTGTGGCCATCCAGTTTTAGCAGTATCTGAGGGGGTGCTTGTCGGAACATGGATGACGCTGTCTGAGAAGCTCTCACCTCGTGCAGAAGGGCTCTGGCTTCTGCTGCTCTTCTCTGGAACGTTTCGGGCAAGAACAATGCTTGGAGCCCAACCATCAACAAAGAAAGTTCGCCTCAAGTCGACCTCCAACCATCACCCCAACTTCCGCGGCTGCAACTGCAAAGCCTCGTTCGCCCTGTCCAAGCACACATCCAACGGAACAAGAAAGCCCGTAAGAGTCCGTGCCTGCACATGCCTCCCTCGCCGGCCCATCGAAGCAGACTGTGGATTTCCTGTGGCAGCCGGCACGGCACCCTTCACATGACAGCATCTTGCAAAAGCGCGCAGAAGATTACTCTTGCTGGCCAGCTACACGGTGAGCGGGTGGAATTCTTTGACCACACTCGCTCCACCGCGGAAGAGAACCTGCATCGGAGTATGTCTTAACTGCATTCTTCCTATGTGTGAGTGGGTTGCGCGCATGCTCTGCACCAAGCTTAAGAGAAGCATGTGGAACGGTGAGTTGCAGCAGGTGCGAGGCAGGATTGAAGGTTGCTTAAATATTGAAAGTGGTTCCCCACTGTGGAGTTGAACACGGAAGATGCACGGCTTCGGGCCATGCTACAAGCAGATGCTACAAATAGATGCAACTGCAGTTGAAGATCCGTACGATTCTGTACCCCTCTCCAAAGCACCAAAACTTTCCCTTGGCCTGAGGTTCGGGGAGACTTGTCGGCACATCGCTCACGGCCGCCTGAGATTTCGCCTTTCAAGCGTGTGAAATGTGAAGTCTAAAGCCCGCGAAAACAAAACTACAGGCTGCTGATACGATGATGACAGAAGGGGTGCCGCAAGGATGCTGAAGGAGCGTTTGCGCTGGGCAGCGTACATGGGGGGACGATTTGATTCCGAACATAACTTGCCCACGCCTCCAACAAGGGCTGGTCTTGGAGTTCGTCATCCAGGGAGTCCGGAACCTTTCTTGCAACCGCTGGGAACTGCAAAGTACGACGGAACAAGCTATAGAATTGAAGCAAAGGCGCTTTTTGCCATGTGCCATCTTCCGATACAGGGCTGGCATGCGCCATCCTCTCGCGAAAGGTGTCGTGCGCCTCGTCCGACCACTCCGTCTCTTCGATCAAAGCCACCGGTGGTGCCACACACCAGCCAGATGTCCCTAACCAATCGGACATGGCCTGGCCTGGTGGCGAGGCGCTAAGGGGCAGGGCCCGGAGCTCGTCGCAGAGCTTGTCGATGAAGACTTCATGGCCGCCCGAACCTCGACCCAGCTCTGGCAGCAGCGTGCGCTTGACCGTACCCTCATCCAGCACCCGTCGCACGAAGCAGAAAGCAAGGGCCGCTTGGTTCGCCAGGAAGCAAAGGATGACCGAGGACACTACCAGGCCCGCCACGGCTGAGTCTGCTTGATCCAGGCTTGCCACCAATTGTGTGCTCGCAGCCGCCAGAGGGAAAGCTACGAGCCCCAAGGCACGAAGCTCCCAGGAGCCCGGTGACAAGCCATGGGGCAACTGTGCTACACCTCGCGGTCCGAGATTCTTCCGGTGAAGCCGTACAGCAGTCCGCCTCGCCAGCCACACGAAAGCGAGCACAAGAATGCAGCCGACCAACACGGAGTCAGGCCGCGGAGCCATCCAACCAAGTGGGACACCAAGGTCCTTAAGAGCAGGCGGTGCTTCTGCAAACCCGACAGCTGCCAGGACCTGCATCGCGAAGAGGGCAGCAGATGTCGATGGGAGCGCTCCCATCAATGGCATCGCCAGCCCGGCCACGGACGCGAGCAGCAGGAACCCGAGGATCACGCCAGAAAAGATGCAGGTTGCAGCGAGCACTGCACCCAACAATACCAGATGCCGGCCCTCATGCGCATCCACGTCCTGCCGCGCTGCTGCCTCAAAATCATTGACGCTCGAGCTGAGGCTTGCGCTCGGAAGATCGCCCTTGCCAGGAAGCGGGGCCAACGGGGCGAAATCTTGCGCGGACACCGCCGAAAGCAAGAAGAGCAGGCTGGACACCATGAAGCCGGGCTACCCGAAATGAGAGGACTTCGTTTCGTTTCTGACGACCCATGCACACTCTCCATCCCATGTTGGCATATCAAACCGAAGCTGCGAACATGTTGAAACGGAATGCGATACAACCTGCCGGGCCTTGGCACTTGCCCATATCACTACGTGTTTGAACCTTGCTGCTTTTGCATGAACTCCGACAAAAACAACATCCACAATGTAACTGTGACCTCGTTGAAGCAATATGCACAAAACGCACATCCAAACTAACCGTCAATGCTCACATAGCGAATTCCGGATCCAAATCCGAACTGCTTTTGGTGGGTTTCCGCGTTCCATGTTCTCACTTTCCTTCGAATTCAAAAAGATTCGGAACCCCTGATCCAGCCGTTGCAAAAAACGAGAATCCCATTTGTGCGAATTCCTCCAGCTGGAGGGTTGGCCTATTGTGCAATTCTGGGTTCCAAACCGTGAAAGGTATGTCGATTCACTTTTTTCAGCTGGCCCAAGCGACATGCATGAAAATGCTGAAAACTGTGGCCTGCGTGGTGGAATCGAGGTTTTGCAAAGTCAAGTCAACGGGGGGTCCTCGGTTGGCGAAGCATGACAGACGTGGACTAACACACAGTTTTGGTTTTCCACGGGCCACGTGGGTTTTCATGCATCCACATTCGACGGTACATGCTTCGCCCTGCATGATGCCAACGTCTGGCCGTGGAAAAACTGCAAAACGAAAGCTTGTCGCAAGCTTTAGGGCTTGGGATTTAGCATCTTAGGGTTGAAAAGACCAGGCTCTGGCGAGATAGGTTGAAACTAAGTTCAAACCTCTGTACCCCAACAACCCTCAACCCTGAACCATACAGGCCCTTTGAACCGCCAAACTTCCACACCCTGGAAACCCTTAAACCGCAAACCCTATCGACCGTACAAACCCAAAACCTTTCGAGGGAGTTACAGAGGTTGATTCACCTGATATATTGCATACAGTGCAGATGAAAGCAAACTCATCATATTTTCACAGGCTGGAGGCCTTCCACACCAAAGCTCTACGAGAAATGCAGGGCATTCAAGCCACCTACCAACATAGCACAACCATTCACAGCTCAAATTTGCTGGGTGCCAACTCCTCGGCTTTTCTTCCATATCTTGGTTCACAATCCGCCTGTTTTGAAAATTATTTTCTCCACCAGCCAAAAAAGCTAGGGTCACACACACACACACACAGAGTATCAGTATTTACTTTCGGCTTGAACGTTAAGATTACTGAATATTATAAAATAAACGATATGGCAGCTGCAGAAGGTCAGGATGATGTCCATCATCGCCTGGCAGAATCGGCAACGGCAATGAAGCAAGTCTGCCGCGTGACAAGCATCACAATGGAACTCAGCTGTCTGCGACGAACCCATGATGGAACTCAGCTGCATTTTTCTCTCTCTGCGACGAACCCCTTTGACCCCGGAAACAGAGACACTGACCTGTTGACTGCAAGCCTTTTCGTTTTCAGTTTAATTTAGGTTATCGTGTGCAACCATGTGCTTCATTGAAAAAGGGCTTGCAGCCGAGACCGCATTGCTTGCTTCTTGCTCGGCACACATGAGTTCATGCTGAAGTGCCTTCCTGGCAATGCGACACCCGGCTCTCTACGCACGTTTAGCAATGACATAGCGACCCTTGTAAAATCTTTGGATGTGCGGATCTCATACGTATCATGGCCTACTTGCTCTGTCGGCTCCAGCAATCGAATCAACTTCAGGTCCGCAGCAACTGTACAAATCTTCAGTGATGGCTGTGACAGAGCACCCTCTGCGATCTTGATTGAGGTGTCTTTTGCAGAGGCGGGAATATGCTCGATGATCTCCGCCTGACTTGTCGAGCAGGGAAAGAGCTGTTACAGCAGTGCATCAAGACAAGCTAACACTATAAGAAAAGGTCACTGACCCAAAAACAGCCGGACAGAAAACTGTTTACCGTTACGATGATCGGGCACCGGCTTGTTCTCGCGAAACGCGCTTGCAGGACAAATGCTGAGCCCTGCGACGGCGACAGCGAAGGCGAGCGCCGGCTCCGATGCACAGTGCACCTTTCGGACGTCCTCCACAACAAGCAGAGCTTTGCATTGCATAGCCCTTGCTAAGTCGACAGTTGGCAGGCTGGTGTCCATCACCTGGCACAAGCGAAGCAGAACCGTGTAACCTATTAAAAAAAACATTTCCCCGAACAAGTTTGAAGTCAATGGATATCTCAGACTCAGAACAATCAAATCAAAAAAGCGTCACATCATATAATTTAGGTTGAGTCTGAGGGGCCAAGCTGAAATTGTCGAACTTCTTGCGGCAGGTTGTCGTTGTCGACTGCAGCAGCTGGGCATCGAGGACGTCCGGCAGCACTGGCTCATTCTGTTGAATGCAATCCTCCTTGAACTTCCGGCTCTCAAGACGTCGCCTCTCCGTGGTTTTGTTGAAGTCCGCTGTCTTTTTGCTGACTTGAACCGGCTCAACGATGGAGGCACGTGGCAGCGACAGAATCGGCTTCGATTGTCGAGCTTCATGGTTCCGAAGGTTGCAAAGTGAGTCGCGTGCAGCATCCTGGGACTCTTTGATTGAAGTGTCTGTCTCAATCTTTTTCTTGGCCCAAATGGGCTCCGGACCATGTCGCCTAGTGTACGCGCAAAACCTTCGGCCATACTTGGCCACCCACAGAGTGGCCCAATCCCGACTCCAATCGGTGAGCTTGGCAACTCCATCTTCCATGTTGACAACGTCCTCCTTGAGCCTGGGGCCATCGATCAGCAAGAGGCTGAGATCCGACAGCGGCAGCTCTGAGATTCCGCAATGTGAATCTGCCACACGCCTGACATCCCCAAGGCCACGCTCCACTGAGCTTGTTACGTGCTCGATCGAGAGATACCACTCCAGAACCCTGGGCAGGAATCGGAAGCCGGCACCGACGCCCTCGGTATTGCTAAAAGTAGCCCAAAGCTCCCGATTATCGAAGGCGAAATCGTCTTGGAAGGCTGCGGGGTTGCTTCTGACCAAATGCTGAGCAGCACTAACGATCTCGTTTGAGCATTCTTGCTCCGCCAAGTGAACAGGAAGGCGAAAGGCCTTGCACAGCTTTTTGTATCGGCGGGTAAGATTCACAACGCCAAGCCGTTGACTCTCGGTTGCGCGGCGAAGGCACCAGTGCCAGCGTTTGAGGTCGAAGGCTTCGAAGTCGCACAGCAAGGACTCGTCATATTCGGCTGCCAACCTGGCCTTTGTCGCTCGAGCTGCTTCTCGCATGTGGTGTAGGGCAAGGACGGCCTCTTCAGCGCCAACATCCTCCTGCCAAAGGTATTTTATTTTGTGGCCGTAATAAATTGGCGGCGCCTCTCGGGCGTTGCTGATCGATCTAGCGATGTTGGTTTCCATGTTGTTCTCGGCATCGAGCAATATTCTGCCTTGGTCAAACAGAACATGGAGGCGATCTAAATACGCATCGAGATGCCTTCTCAGCAAAGACGGGTCGGCATCTGAAACATCGTTCACTCGCACCAACTTGAGCGCCTCCGCGGACCAATCGTCGAGCAGGCCGGCCTGAACAGCGCTTGCCGGGCCCATGGCTTCGAGCCAGGCCACTGCCTGTGAGCGGTCTTCCTTTTTCAGCCGAGGGTCTTGCGACCGTAAGGCTAAAAGCAAGGCAATGGCGCTTTGCAGATTCGTGTACTGCCTGTGTGCAGCTGCAGCACTCTCGTAACGCACATCGGAGTGTCCAATCTGCCGCAAAATGGTTTGCATGCCATTTGGGGTCCTGAGATGCTTTTGGCATGCCATCAATGCATGCTGCAGCTTTGCTGAGGAAAGAACAGTATGAACCAAACCGCCTGCGGCCATCAATTGCTCCCACTGCTCGCCCAACAGAGCATCGCGCTTCACAGGATCTCCAGTTGCAATCCTTATGGTGTGCGCAGTGTCTTTGGCAACCAGATGAAGGTGAGGAAGACCCACTCTCAACATGGACAAGCTTTTCTGAAGCGCTCCGTCCCCGAACATGGAATGGGTGTGCTCAATAATGTGGCGCAGCAGCTCCCTGTCTTCACCACAAAACTTCTCCAGGCAGCGCTTCACACTTCTGCAGACTCGCTCGCCATAGTCGTCCTGCAAGCGTTCGATGTCCAGCTCGACAGAGGCCATGTTCTCGACCCAAAGAACCCCACGTTGCGTTCCAACCTGCAACGCAGACACGGAATCTCATCTTGCGACGCGCACTAGCCTAAAGAAGGAGCCCTGACTTTATAACCAAGACGAATTTTAGAAGCCAAGATTAGGCCGCCTTGCCGTCCTCCTTGCGGAAGCTGCATTTGAACCGAATCAGGCGCCAATGTTTCTTGTCGTCCAGCATCAGGCTCACGCAGCAGGCCTTGCGAAGGCATTCGCGATGGCGAAGACGAACGGCTTCAGCCATGGTTTGAAGCATATTCTGCATGGCCTTGGCCTTCACTTCGGGCCTCCGCGCACTTGCCAGCCATCGGCTTGCAGTGAGAGCTTGAGCAGCTTGCCGAAAGGACGCTTGCGACTCAACCCACGCCAGCAGCCAATCCTCCACCTGTGGAACCGCTCCTGAGAGCAGTTCGTCGTCCTGCTCCGATGGAATCATGCTGACCAGGGGGGCTGTTGGTGCCAAGAAAGCCTTCAGAGCCAACCGGTGGATGTTGCTCTGGGCATGGTTCTGCAGGTTGGACGCTTGCAAGCAGCTCAGTGTGCTCACCTCATACCGCCCCCACCGTGTGGAATGGCGGCGCCTGCGACCTGTCAAAGACGGGCCAAAACATCGCAAGCGATAAATTCATGACTTATATTTTTTATTAAGCTTCCGGAATCAGATGAATCCAGGGATAGCTTTCGTCTTTGAGAAGGGGGGAAGGGGGGGAATCATGCGTTTGGCAAATTTTGGCCGGGGGGAGGGGCTCGTGGGAAATCATAAGGTTGGCAAGTTTTTGGCTGAAAGCCCCTGCCTGGGAAATCATGGGTTTGGCCAATTTGGGGCTAAAGGCTCCTGCTCCCAACCAAGCCGAGAAGGGGGGGGGGAGGGGAAAGCTAATTGATGACAATAATTGTTTTGCGGACGCCGGCCTTGCTGGGTGGCCCTTCGGATCCTTTCCTAGGCCGAAGCGTCAGAACAGTCATTGGCAATGAGCACAATTGCTGACGAGCTGCATCCCGTAGAAACGAATATCAAAGTCGAAATTCAGTTGAGTCCAAGTTAACCCAAATTTTCTCGAAGATTCCCCTCAGGCTGCCGCTCACCAGTGGGTGCAGCAACATCTTGTACCAATCCTGCACGAGCCATTCCTCAGAACTACTTAGAATTCTCAGCCTCAGCTGAGGCCGAAGCCAAACGGATGCGAAGCGGTGGATGAGCTTGGGCCGCCCTGACAAGGCAGACAACACAACCTCTGAGTAAGCGGGGTTTAGGGTCAAGGCTTGCGGGAGACATCAACCCATTATACACAAGAAACAAGCATACATGCTTCGGGTTGAGATTGGAACGCACTGCCACTGTGTTCGGTAGTCGGCAAAAGGCAATTTCGAGTATGCCTTGCCTGTGAGCAGCCAGAAGGTATGCAGAAAGCAACAAACGAACTCATGCAGAATACTGTAATCCTGCATGCCCAGGCTCTTACATCGCGCAGCTCGTGAAAATTACACTATGTAAGGAAGGGGAGGAGAAAAAGGAGGGTGGTCCTCCAGGTGGCGCGGTCTTTCGGATCGAGGACTTCGGGTTTGGGATGTGGCAGACAAGAGAAGAGAGAGAACAAACACCGAGAGAGAGAGAGAGAGAGAGAGAGAGAGAGAGAGAGAGAGAGAGAGAGAGAGAGAGAGAGAGAGAGAGAAGAAGAAGAAGAAGAAGGAAAAAAAAAAAGAAGAAGGAGAGAGAGGAAGAGATGGAAAGAGAGAGACATTGAAAGACATAGCGTATGTTTGTATCCTGTAGCCTAAAGTCTTATAACCCCTGAAGCCCTGAAACCGTTTGGATGTCTGAAGCACCGCTGTACAGCTGTTTTGTGGGCCGTCACGGCCTGTGTCATGGCGGCCCTCGGTCAAAGCTGCATACCATGTGTATACGGTTCTGGCATCCTCGGCCCTTCAACAAAACATGCCAGGAGAGCAGATTCCGCCCACGGCGGGAGTGCCTTAACGACACGAAGCGAAGCCCAATGCCATGACAAGTGCGGGGGTGCAAGACTGCGCGGGGCCATTTTTGCCACCCGCCTAGCCAACACCGTGGGCTGCGCAGGGCTTGGGTTGTTCGGGCTTGGGCTTAGGGCTGCATATTCTGGGGATGTGGGTTCTGAACCATAGAGAGTGAGGCCAAGCCCCTAGGCGCTTCATCCATGGCCAGCACCATGGGCCACTTAACTTGAAAGCCCGGAGCATCCGACGACAAAAACCTTGTGGCGCTACAATTGTTTCTTGTCGCGGTACTTGTTTACATGGGGGCTTCCGAATTAGGGGTACCTTATTGGGGTCCCTATTATAAGGGGATCCTACTATTTGGAATCTATTTTAGGGGTCCCGTATATTCGTAAACTCCCACTTGTCGCAGCATGAACTTTCTTGCTGTGGACGCTGGGACCTCTGCCCACAGGTCCACTTCATCTTGCGTGGAGGCCTGCATAACCACACCACAATCACCACATGGTCGCACTCAGTTGAATTGAAGCAACTTGTAGTCTTAGGGTCGCAATCGAGATTCAAGAGAAGAAAACCTGCAAAGTTCGGTGTCGGCTTTCCGCTTCAGGCTGCGCTGCTTTTACTCTGCTGGAACTGGGAGGTTGCTTGTCTCCTTTAGACAGCTGTGTCAGCATGTGTTAGTTGTGTGTGTGCCCAACAACGGGTCAGGATCAGCATCCGGCGCAATGAGGGACTCAATGGGAATTCTGCAAGGCGGAATCAGATGAATCCAGGGATAGCTTTCGTCTTTGAGAAGGGGGGAAGGGGGGGAATCATGCGTTTGGCAAATTTTGAGGGGCTCGTGGGAAATCATAAGGTTGGCAAATTTTTGGCTGAAAGCCCCTGCCTGGGAAATCATGGGTTTGGCCAATTTGGGGCTAAAGGCTCCTGCTCCCAACCAAGCCGAGAAGGGGGGGGGAGGGGAACGCTAATTGATGACAATAATTGTTGTGCGGACGCCGGCCTTGCTGGGTGGCCTTTCGGATCCTTTCCTAGGCCGAAGCGTCAGAACAGTCATTGGCAATGAGCACAATTGCTGACGAGCTGCATCCCGTAGAAACGAATAACAAAGTCGAAATTCAGTTGAGCCCAAGTTAACCCAAATTTTCTCGAAGACTCTCCTCAGGCTGCCGCTCACGAGTGGGTGCAGCAACATCTTGTATCAATCCTGCACGAGCCATTCTTCAGAACTACTTAGAATTCTCAGCCTCAGCTGAGGCCGAAGCCAAACGGATGCGAAGCGGTGGATGAGCTTGGGCCGCCCTGACAAGGCAGACAACACAACCTCTGAGTAAGCGGGGTTTAGGGTCAAGGCTTGCGGGAGACATCAACCCATTATACACAAGAAACAAGCATACATGCTTCGGGGTTGAGATTGGAACGCACTGCCACTGTGTTCGGTAGTCGGCAAAAGGCAATTTCGAGTACGCCTTGCCTGTGAGCAGCCAGAAGGTACGCAGAAAGCAACAAACGAACTCATGCAGAATACTGTAATCCTGCATGCCCAGGCTCTTACATCGCGCAGCTCGTGAAAATTACACTATGTAAGGAAGGGGAGGAGAAAAAGGAGGGTGGTCCTCCAGGCGGCGCGGTCTTTCGGATCGAGGACTTCGGGTTTGGGATGTGGCAGACAAGAGAAGAGAGAGAACAAACACCGAAGAGAGAGAGAGAGAGAGAGAGAGAGAGAGAGAGAGAGAGAGAGAGAGAGAAGAAGAAGAAGAAGAAAAAAAAAAAAAAAAGAAGAAGGAGAGAGAGGAAGAGATGGAAAGAGAGAGACATTGAAAGACATAGCGTATGTTTGTATCCTGTAGCCTAAAGTCTTATAACCCCTGAAGCCCTGAAACCGTTTGGATGTCTGAAGCACCGCTGTACAGCTGTTTCGTGGGCCGTCACGGCCTGTGTCATGGCGGCCCTCGGTCAAAGCTGCACACCATGTGTATACGGTTCTGGCATCCTCGGCCCTTCAACAAAACATGCCAGGAGAGCAGATTCCGCCCACGGCGGGAGTGCCTTAACGACACGAAGCGAAGCCCAATGCCATGACAAGTGCGGGGGCGCAAGACTGCGCGGGGCCATTTTTGCCACCCGCCTAGCCAACACCGTGGGCTGCGCAGGGCTTGGGTTGTTCGGGCTTGGGCTTAAACAGGCTAGGCTGTATATTCTGGGGATGTGGGTTCTGAACCATAGAGAGTGAGGCTAAGCCCCTAGGCGCTTCATCCATGGCCATGGGCCACTTAACTTGAAAGCCCTGGCCCTGAGCATCCGACGACAAAACCTTGTGGCGCTACAATTGTTTCTTGTCGCGGTACTTGTTTACATAGGGGCTTCCGAATTAGGGGTACCTTATTGGGGTCCCTATTATAAGGGGATCCTACTATTTGGAATCTATTTTAGGGGTCCCGTATATTCGTAAACTCCCACTTGTCGCAGCATGAACTTTCTTGCTGTGGACGCTGAGACCTCTGCCCACAGGTCCACTTCATCTTGCGTGGAGGCCTGCATAACCACACCACAATCACCACATGGTCGCACTCAGTTGAATTGAAGCAACTTGTGGTCTTAGGGTCGCAATCGAGATTCAAGAGAAGAAAACCTGCAAAGTTCGGTGTCGGCTTTCCGCTTCAGGCTGCGCTGCTTTTACTCTGCTGGAACTGGGAGGTTGCTTGTCTCCTTTAGACAGCTGTGTCAGCATGTGTTAGTTGTGTGTGTGCCCAACAACGGGTCAGGATCAGCATCCGGCGCAATGAGGGACTCAATGGGAATTCTGCAAGGCGGAATCAGATGAATCCAGGGATAGCTTTCGTCTTTGAGAAGGGGGGAAGGCGGGGAATCATGCGTTTGGCAAATTTTGAGGGGCTCGTGGGAAATCATAAGGTTGGCAAGTTTTTGGCTGAAAGCCCCTGCCTGGGAAATCATGGGTTTGGCCAATTTGGGGTTCAAAGCTCCTGCTCCCAACCAAGCCGAGAAGGGGGGGGGGAGGGGAAAGCTAATTGATTTCAATTATTCTTTCCTGTTTTGCGGACGCCGGCCTTGCTGGGTGGCCTCTCGGATCCTTTCCTAGGCCGAAGCGTCAGAACAGTCATTGGCAATGAGCACAATTGCTGACGAGCTGCATCCCGTAGAAACGAATAACAAAGTCGAAATTCAGTTGAGCCCAAGTTAACCCAAATTTTCTCGAAGATTCCCCTCAAGCTGCCGCACCAGTGGGTGCAGCAACATCTTGAACCAATCCTGCACGAGCCATTCTTCAGAACTACTTAGAATTCTCAGCCTCAGATCAACACCAACAGAAACAGCAACAGCACCGACACCAGCAACAGCTCAGGGCCTAAACAGGCCAAGGCTGAAGCCGAAGCCAAACGGATGCGAAGCGGTGGATGAGATTGGGCCGCCCTAACAAGGCAGACAACACAACCTCTGAGG